GGTGGTGGGTCAGAGGCCTCATGGACGCTGGTAGGGATATCGTGGTTGGCCGGGACCTCTGGGGGCCTCTTGGAGGCCTCTTGGGGCTTCTTGGGGGCCTCTTGGGCCTCTTGGGGCCACTTGGGGGCCTCTTGGGGGTCTCTTGGGAGTCTCTTGGGGCTTCTTGGGGGCCTCTTCTGGGCCCCTCGGGGCCTCTTGGAGGCTTCTTCGGAGCCTCTTGGTGCGGGATGGGTGGCACTCGAGTTCGGAACCCCCTCGGAGGCCACGATCCTTGTGAGGGGTGTCAAAAAACGCATCCGCCGGAAACTCGCACCCCCCCCCCCACCCCCCCTTCCCCGGCAGAGCCACCCCGGTAACCCCCCCGGAGGCTGAGGCTCAGCCTCGAGGCTGTAGCTGAGACTCCTTGTAACTCACACGCTGGATCGGCGGATTTGTCGTCCAAAGTCCGCCTGTAGTGGGAGACGCCTGACCTAAGGCTGATTACTCAACTCTGTGCAAGAAACACAACGGGCAGTTTTTCGCAATTTTCGGCCTCCAGGGGCCCTTCTCGGGTCTAGGGGCCGTCAAAGAACGACTCAGGATCAAACGCTGGTCCTGGGGAAGGGGTCCAGGCCCCTGGGGGTCGACGCGCTGAAAAAAAATCACAACGTCGGGGGTCGAGGTAGTAGGTCGACCAGTCCAAACCAAGGGTGCCCTTTGACGGCGGCGAGCGCGGGGGGGAAGCGAGAAGGAGGAGGTCGTGTCAGCAGGCGGCGGGGCGTCTCAGAAGCCCACCGGACTTCTGCGAAGTGTGCAGTGTCTTCGGGGAAGGCTCAGACAACTTCGCAGAAGGCCGGAGGGACCTCCGAGGCTTCCGAGAAGGCCCGCCCCTGCTCACTCCCACCCTGGGCTCGCCGCCAAACGTCGAGGGCACTCTTCGCCCTGTGTTTCGAGACCCGTGCCTTCTACATTCCTGCGGCGAGGTGGCCATCAGAGAGTGCTCGTGTCCCCTCGCGCGTCCTCCCCTGACCTTCCAGGAGGGCTAAACAATAGCACGCGACTTGAAAACCAATCCCAGAGCTATTCTATGTCTTGGTTTTAGGCTGTTTCGTTTAGTTTTTTAGGTCTTTAGGCCTCCCGTGCTAAAAAATAGCTCTCTGGAAGGTCAGGGTCTCCGATCAGCCCCGACTGTTTCCCAGGGGGGCAGGGCGGGCGGGGCAGGGCGGGGGCCGGTAACGTGACGCTTCGTTCTGGCGCCGTTTTGGAGCCGGCTGCCCCTGGCACTTCCAAGCGGCGCTGGCGCGAGCCGTGGCGTTACCGGGTGCGGGTGGGGAGGGGAGGGGGGGGAGCATCCCCAGCAGCGGCCGTCATCGCGGATCGGCATCTATTTTCTGTGTTTCTGATGTAAGAAAAAATCCCAGAGCGACCCTACCTAGAAATTAGAGCCCCGAGGAGAGCAATATTAGTAGTAACGGTAAACGCCGTCCTCCTCCTTCTCCTCATCGTCGCATTTGTAGCAGTAGCCGTAGGAGTAGTAGTAGTAGTAGTAGTAGTAGTAGTAGTAGTAGTAGTAGTAGTAGTGGTGGTAGTAGTAGTAGTAGTAGTAGTAGTAGTAGTAGTAGTGGTAGTAGTGGTAGTAGTAGTAGTAGTAGTAGTACTACTACTACTATACTACTACCACGACTACCACTACTATTCTACTACTACTAATACTATTAGCTACTACTACTACTATACTACTACTACTACTTACTAACTACTACTCCTACTACTACTTACTACTACTACTACAGACTACTATACTACACTTACTAATACTACTTAGTAGTAGTAGTAGTAGATCGTAGTAGAGTAGTAGTAGTAGTCGTCGTGTCGTCGTCGCGTCGTTCGTGAGTTCGTAGTCGTAGTCGTAGTGGTAGCGCAGTTCGTAAGTTGTAGCGTAGTAGTAGAGTAGTAAGTAGTAGGTGTAGTAGTTTCGTAGTAGTAGTAGTCGTCGTTGTAATATTCGTAGTCGTAGTAGTAGTAGTAGTAGTAGTAGTAGTAGTAGTAGTAGTAGTAGTAGTAGTAGTTGTAGTAAGTAGTAGTCGTAGTAGTAGTAGTAGTAGTAGTAGTAGTAGTAGTAGTAGTAGTAGTAGTAGTAGTAGTAGTAGTAGTAGTAGTAGTAGTAATAGTAGTAGTAGTAGTAGTAGTAGTAGTAAAAGTAGTAGTAGTAGTAGTAGTCGTAGTCGTAGTCGTAGTAGTAGTAGTAGTAGTAGTAGTAGTAGTAAAACTAATAGTACAGCTTAATACCTACATCTGCATGTAGACCTACATCCACATGTAGACCTACATGCTATGTTATGCTATGCTATGCTGCGATGTGCTATGCTATGCTGCGCTATGCTATTATATGCTAGACTATGCTGCGCGATGTTATGCCATGCTATGGCATGCTATGCTGCGCTATGCTATGCTGCGCTATGATATGCTGTGCTATGCTATGCTATGCTAGTATATGTTGTGCTGTGCTATTATATGCTATGCTATGCTATGCTGCGTTATACTATGCTATGCTATGATATGCTATGCGGCGCTATGCTATGCTATGCTATGCTATGCTGCGCGATGCTATGCTACGCTACGCTATGCAATGTTATGCTATGCTACGCTGCGCTATGTTATACCAGGACGTGCTATGCTATGCTGCGCTGTGCTAAACTAAGCTAAGCTAAACTATGCTATGCTATGCTATGCTGCGCTATGCTATGACATGCAATGTTATGCTATGCTGTGCTATGCCATGCTGCGCTATGATATGATATGCTATGCTATGCGAATGCGAATGCTGCGCTACGCTAAGCTGAGCTAAGCTAAGCTCAGGTAAACTAAGCTAAGCTAGGCTAGGCTAAGCTAAACTTAGCTAAGTGAAGCTAAGCTAAGCTAGGCTAAACCAAGCCAGGCTAAGCTAAGTTAAGCTAAGTCAAGCTAGGCTAAGCCAAGATGAGATACGCAACGCTAAGCTAAGGGGACGCAGCTGGGGGAACCGCGGAGCGGATCCTGGGGGAACCGCCTGGGGCGTTCTACATTGCCCGGCCCCTTTAAGCAAAGAGGGTAAGAACCCGGCTAGGCAGAGCCTAGGTAGGGAAAAACGCGCTCTGCTGTGCCCGCGGTCGGGCACCTTCCTCCTTGGCACGCGGCCGCTTGCGGGGCCGCTTCCGGGGCCCTGACCCATCGAGGAGGGCATCGACTACAGAATCGATGTCATCCAGAATTGGCTCCCCGCTGAGTACACCAGAAGCACGTCTAATGTTCGTATTTATATAGACATATCTATATATATATATATATATATATGTACGGGACATGATGCGTGATCTGGTTCGTAGATTCGGCGCGGAATCCATTTTGGGTAAATCCATTATGTAGTCGATCCCCGTCTCGAACACCCGTTTCTTGATTCTTTCACCTCGCTCTTCCGTCTAACCCGGTCTCTTGGAGGAGGGCAAGCACACACAGGTCCACCTCGCTCCTGCCCGCGGTGCCCCCATCCCCAGAGGTGGGGAACACAGTCAGAGGAGGAGGGGTGGAGGGAGGAGGAGGGAGGAGGAGGAGGAGGAGGAGGAGGAGAAGGAAGAGGAGGAGGAGAAAGGAGGCGGGAGAGGATGATGATGATGATGATGATGATGATGATGATGATGATGATGATGATGATGATGATGATGATGATGATGATGATGATGATGATGATGATGATGACGCGATGGTGATGGTGATGGTGATGGTGATTGGTGATGATGATGATGATGATGATGATTATGATAGCTGTGATGATGATGAGGAGATGAGGAGGGGGATGAGATGGAGGATGAGGATGAGGCATGAGGATGGTGATGATGATGATGATGATGATGTATGGTGATTGGTGATGGTGATGGTGATGGTGATGATGAGGATGAATGATGATGACGATGATGATGATGAATGATGATGATGAGAGGAGGAGGAGGAAGGAGGAGGAGGAGGAGGAGGATGAGGATGATGATGATGATGATGATGATGATGAATGATGGTGATGGTGATGGTGATGGTGATGGTGATGATATGATGATGATGATGATGATGATGATGATCGAGGATGATGATGATCTATGATGAGATGATGAGGAGAGGCGAGGAGGAGTAGAGGAGGGAGGGATGAGGATGAGGATGAGGATGAGGATGAGGATGAGGATGAGGATGATGATGAGGAATGATGATAAGGAGGAAGGAGGGGAGGAAGGAGAGAAGAGGAGGAGGAAGGAGAGGAGGAGGAGTGGTGGAGGGAGGAGGGAGGAGAGAGGAGGAAGGAGGGAGAGGAGGGAAGGGAGGGCGGGAGGAGGTAGGTCAAAGAGGAGGAGGAAAAAGTGGATGAGCGAGGCGGGCGAGGAGGAGGCGGAGGAGGAGGAGGAGGAGGAGGAGGAGCATGAGGAGGGTGGAGGGAGGAGGGTGCCGACGGAATGATTTGTGAAGTGCTCGGCTCCTGGGCTCGCGTCCTCGTCACAATGTCTGTTAGCGTGCTGCTTCTTTTTGTTGCTGGTTACCTGCCGCCGAGTGCTCTCTCTCTCTCTCACTCTCTCTCGGGGTCTCTCTATCCCCACTTGTCGATTTATCCTGCTCCTCCTCATCATGCTAGTCCTTGCCTCTCGTCGCGCCCCGCGCTCCTCCTCCCCTCCTCCATGCAATACTCATACTTCTCCACCCTCCACACTGATCCTCCTCCTCCTCCACATCCTCTTCCTCCTCGCTCTGCTCATCATTCTCGTAGCGCTTCGTGCCCTCATCATCACGACCACCTTTATTATCACACTGCTCTTCCTTGTTCCTCTTTATGATCCATGTTGTTTTTCTCCCTGCCTCCATGCTCCCCTATTACCGCCTCACCTCCTCCTCCTCCTCCTGGCTCCTCCTCCTCCTCCTCCTCTTCCTCCTCCTCCTCCTCCTCCTCCTCCTCCTCCTCCTCCTCTCCGTAGCCGCCTCCTCCACGTGTTCCGCGGCGCCCCGAGGATAGACGTCATGTTCGATCTGAAAGGGACGACGGAGGACCGCTGGGTGGAGCCCGGTCCCGGCCGATGCCTCAAGGATAACAACTTCGCTGGCACCACCATCTTTCTCGAGGACCGGACCTCTTCTCACTCCCCAGGAAGGAAGCGGGCCCCGAGGGGAAAGGCTCCTAGACTTCGGGTGACTTCCACCGGATCGAGCTCTTCGTCCCGAGTCGGTTTGTGGACGGTCCTGGGGCCCGTGGAAGGCATCGGCGGTCCGAGAACGGCACTTTCTCTTCCGACCTCCCCGTCCTTCCGCCGTCGCGCTCCGCCTCCATGGCCCCTCGAGTAGTACACCAGGGCAGTGCACCACCGGATAGCAGGTCTCCCCCTAGCGGTTGAGTTCGGGGGGCACGCAAGGGGGGTGGCGGTAAAGTGGGGCGGCGAGGGCTGCAGAAAAAACGATGGTTCAGGGCCCGAGCAGTGCACCTTGCTTCCCCCCCATTTATCGCCCCCTAACTCGGCGACGCACACTTGAAGGGCACCAAGCAGCCCCAAATGGGGGAGAAGGAGGAGGAGGAGGAGGAGGAAGAGGAGGTGGAGGAGGATGGAGGAGGAAGAGGAGGAAGAGACGGAGGAGTAGAAGGAGGAGGAGGAGGAGGAGGAGAAGGAGGAGCGAGGAGCAAGGAGCGAGGAGCGAGGAGCGAGGAGGAGGAGGAGGAGGAGAAGGAGGAGGCGGAGGAGGAGCGAGGAGAAGCGATGAGGAGCGAGGAAGGAGGAGGAGCGAGGAGGAGCGAGGAGGAGCGAGGCGGAGCGAGGTGGATGAGGGCGAGGAGGAGCGAGGAGAAGCGATTGAGGAGGAAGGAGGAGGAGCGAGGAGGAGCGAGGAGGAGCGAGCGAGGTGAGCGAGGAGAGGAGCGAGGAGGAGCGAGGAGGAGGAGGAGCGAGAGGAGATGAGCGAGGGGAAGCGAGGAGGAGCGATGAAGAGGAGGAGGATCAGGAGGAGGAGGACGGAGAAGGAGTGAGGAAGAGCGAGAGGAGCGAGGAGGAGCGAGGAGGAGCGAGGAGGAGCGAGGAGGAGCGGGGCGGAGCGAGGAGGAGCGAGGAGGAACGAGGAGGAGCGAGGAGGAACGAGGAGGAACGAGGAGCGAGGAGGAGCGAGGAGGAGCGAGGAGGATCGATGAGGAGCGAGGGGAAGCGAGGAGGAGGAGCGAGGAGAAGGAGGAGGAGGATGAGGAGGACGATGAAGAGGAGGAGGATCAGGAGGAGGAGGAAGAGAGGAGGAGGAGGAGGAGGAGGAGCGAGGACGAGGAGCGAGGAGGAGCGAGGAGGAGGAGGAGGAGCATGAAAGGAGGCTGTTGAGGCGAAGACGAGGAGGAGGAGGAGGACGAGTGAGCAGTGCGCAGTGAGGAGTGAGGAGTGAGGAGGAGGAGCAGTTGGGTCAGGAGAGCAGGAGGAGGAGGAGGTGGAGGAGGAGGCGGAGGAGGAGGAGGAGGAGGAGGTTGGTTGTTGTTGTGCTGGAGGAGGAGGAGGAGGAGGAAGGGAGCGAGGAACGAGGAGGACGAGAGGAGGAGGGAGGAGGAGGAGGAGGAGGAGAGGGGAGGAGGAGGAGGGGAGGAGGAGGAGAGGAAGAAGAGGAGGTGGAGGAGGAGGAGGTGGAGGAGGGAGGAGGAGGAGGAGGTGGAGAGGAGGAGGAGGGGAGGAGGAGGAGGAGGAGGAGGAGGAGGGGAGGGAGGAGGAGGAGAGGAGGAGGGAGGAGTAGCAAGGAACGGAGTAGGAGGAGGAGCGGAGGAGAGTAGGAGGAGGAGGAGGAGGTGGAGTGGAGGTGGAGGAGGAGGAGGAGGGAGGAGGGATAGGAGGGAGGAGGAGGAGGGAGGAGGAATAGGAGGAGGAGGTAGGAGGAGGAGGGGAGGAGGAGGAGGAGGAGGAGGAGGAGGAGTTGGAGGAGGAGGAGGAGGAGGTTTCAGCTCCTTGGGGCACCTGTAGCCTCTGGGAGTGTTCGCCAGCAGCCGAGGCCCCTGGGGGACGCCCCCCCAGGGCGCGCGGGGCGCTGAGGCGCCGAGGGTGGCCCCCGCATCTGGCAGCGCACCAGGGCACGCACTGGCCCAGCCCGAGCCCGAGAATGGGAGTCGAAGCGATAAGGCGAACTGGCCCGCTGGACGGTTCTTGGGATTTGCAGGCAGAGCAGTTCTACAGGCCAGCGAGCATGGTGACGGTCACGGTTACGCGAGCATGGTGACGGTTACGTGCTGCGAGAAGGCAAGCATCAAGGACGACGACATCCGCATTCAGATTGTCGCTCCGGACACACGTTGCATACCTCGCACCGCCAACGACTTCCACGAGCATCGGCGCATCCATAACATCCAGGAGAAGGGGCAGGAGGCCGCAGAGGCGGAGGAGGAAGCGCCTCACGACTGCATCGCGAACGTATCGGCTTCCAGCAAGGCACCAGCCGAGAGGCGCGGACCAAGTTCAAGAGCGCCATGCGCAGGATGCCCGGGGGCGCGCAAATACATGGCCAGGCCATGAGAATTTGAGAAAAGGGTCCCACCACGTGGCGCAACACTTGGGGGAGATTGGGCAAGGCAGGCTTGGATGGCAGCTGTCTCGCTGACCAAACGCTGCCCATCGCACATCCAGAGGGGCCTCCGGTTTACCAGCAGTTGGACCCTCGCCCAGGGCCCAGGGGCGCCATCGCACCGGCCGCCGCCTCTCACGCAGAACGCTCCCTCAAGGCGCAGCTCAAGAAGACCTGTCCGATAGTCGCGTCCCAGGCCGAGTCGTGCACGCAGCAAGTCTACCTGTGTACCAGGTTGGGCTGCATCAGGACTACCAGGGCTCGATTCAGAGAAGGGGCGCTTTCTTTCTCCGTGATCGTGTGCCAGTTCTGCAAGAAGGACCGGTGCATGTACTTTTCATGAGCGTCAACATCATAGATGGGCCAACGGTGTACACTATGAGGCACCGCCCGGCATCGCGAAGTACGAATACGACACCTTCAACGCGTGGATGGCAGAAGTTCGCCAGGACGGCTCTGGCGACTCGAAGTCCCAGGCCTCCGACACCTCCGATGCATCCCACGTGTACAAGGAGAAGGAGAGGGCGGTAAGCGAGGGCACGAGCGAAGATACACGTTAGGATACCAGCATGAAAAAAAGAGGGCTCTGCAGAGCCCGGGCCGTCTTCGTGATCGTGTCACGGGTGACCCTGCGCCAGGATTCGCCCAGGTTGATCTTCAGCTGGTCAAGACGAGCTGACCCCTGCCGCCGAAGATCAGGCGTCCGCATGCGTCCCGCACACCCAGTACAGCGCTTCGTGGCCCCAGCGGGAGCTCCACCGAAGGTCCCAGTGCTACCGTCCGCATGCGTGCCGCCCACCCAGTACAGCGTTTCGTGGCCCTCCTCCCCCTCCTACCTGCCTTTCACCCACCCAGTACAGCGCTTCGTGGCCCCATGGGGAGTCCCACCGGAGGTCCCAGTGCTACCGTCCGCATGCGGAGCAGACCGCCCCGCAATCGACCCTTCGGGGATCAGGGCGGGAGTCCAGCCGTCGACCTCTCGGAGTCGGACGTGGACGGGGGCGCGGGCAACGACGCGAAGAAAGAGTAGACCAAGGGAGCCGATGGCGCCGGGCAGGAGCCAGAAGATATGGACGTAGATGCGACGACGAAGCAAAGACCAAAGAAAGGGTTGAGGGCGATGAGACCGACTGCGTCGGCAAGGGTGAAGCCGATGGCGACATCTACATCCCGCTGTCCCTGTCCAGCGAACGCATCACAGACAGTGCCCTTTGGTTGTATTCCAGGCTTGAGGTGGCTCCGCCCCCTCCTACTGAACTGCAGCTTCCATTGGGGTCCGCGAAGCAGCAAGTGAACGACCGAGACGACGCAGCAGATGAACATCTTGGACACGCCGAAGCTTATGTGGTCGGTGACCTGCCAGAGGAGGACCGGAACATACACGCTCTCCCGTGTCGAATGAGCATCAAGCTCGCGCGCGAGCTAGATACGGCGTGCGACTTCGGCCCCATGACGCACTTGGCCAGGGCGTTCCATGCGCGGGCATGGTGGTATGTCCTGCCACGGCGGGGGCGTCGTCCGCGACGCGCTGCTCGAATACATCCGGAGGCTCACTATGGAAGAGCCAAGACAGGCCGACTGCTACCTACTGCTCCGGCACAACACGGTTTAGCCGAATAACCTTCCAGGAGTCGCACATCGCATTGTCCACATCTTCCCCGAGATGCAGAGCTCTTCGCTCGTGCGCTTCTGTGGGGTGCCCACGGCAGAGGCGACCAGATGGGCTGGCCTGGTCGTGAGCTTATTCATGCGCAGATCGACGCATGTTACCAGCGCGGGAGGCTGTGTCGAGGTCGAGGCCTTGGTCACCCAGATCCACCGTGATGGTGTCGACCGCCCCTGGGCAAGGTCCACGCATGCAATGGCCACGCTGCCCATCCATATTCTGGGACAGACACGATCGCAGACGCCCAGAGGGCAACTATGTTGTCGGAGGGGAGAAGGACGCACCGCCGAAAACGAGGCCGCTCTACATCAGAGCACGCATGGGTCATCCCTTCCGCACTGCGAAACCAAAACGGCAGGGCATTCGGTGACCATGGCGCGGCAGAGCGCTCACTTCGTTCGTTGCGCCGCTCGACGAGTCGGCCATGATCCATGCGATGAAAGGCGCCTTCGTGTTCCCCAGTCATGAGCTGATCCGCAGCGCCGCTACTTCAACTTCCTTGCCACGAAACGCGCCGACTTCAAGGTCTCGAGCCACCGCGCGGACGGGGCCGACGAAGCCAATGAAGGCGTCGACGGAGCCGCGGCCCTGGCGTGACGTCGCCACGCCGGGTCCGTCATTGAAGCTCAGGGGGACATCCCCCAATGGCTGCGTCAGGACGGTCAGGCTCGACTGATCCTCCGCGACGCTGCGGGCCCGAGGGTGTCCGGCCTGACGGGCCCGGCGAAGCTCAATCGGCGCATCGCCGTGATGTTCGCGGCCCGCTTCGTCGAGAACCGCGAGTTCTGGGCGGTGCCCGACGGGGCCATGGTCGCCGCCGACTTCCGTCCACTCTGGTCCGACGCCCACCGGGCGATCCGGCTGGTCCTCAACTGTTCCGGCAATG